AAAAAAAAAAAAAAAGTACTGAATAAGTAACCTGAGATAAAGAGGGAGGGACAAGATTTGGAACATAAATTTAAATACTATAGAAAAGGTCTAGAATAACTACACTGAGAAATCCTAGAGGAATGTAACAAAAGAAAATTAAAGAATGGTTGAGCAGCATTAAGGGTATATGTAAGATAGTCCATTAATTTCCCATGGGTTTACCTGGACTAGGGTCAATGTTTGCTAATAGCTCCAAATGGGGTCTTAGTCGGTTCAAGTTTGCTGGGTCTCCAGTCCGCTGGAGAGCAATTGTTAGTTCCTGAACACTCTGTGCAAAAGAGGCTGGGGTCTGCAACTTAAAAAAGATAAACATTAACTTTCCCAAAGACCAGATAATACTTATCTGCGACATCACAATTATTTTTGCAACTTACTAAATTTGATTTTTATCCTCCCACACTCACTACACTTTGGCCAGATTGGATTACTTGCTACCTGAACAAATTCTGCACTTCTCTGCTTCCTCAGCTTGGCACATTGAATACCCTATGCTCTCTGCTGTCACATTCTTCACATGCGTTACCTTTCTCGATTCCTCAATTGAAAGTACTCTTTCCACTCTATGTTCTTATAGCATTTTGTTGGTTTGGTTCTTGGGGGCCTCCCAAATAATCAAAATTTGGAAACATAAGTTAGAGAATGCTACACAATAGCAAGAACAATGATAAGGAATTCAGTGAAACTGAGTTTGATTTCAAGTTCTGGTAAGACCACATTGGACATAAGCCCTTATAGACCCCATCTGAAGTCTATTTGTTAAGCAGAGTAAATAATTTCAAAGTTTCACTATAGCTCCAAGAATCCTATTATCAGTCTAGGATTCTTGGGAAGCTATGAATTTGTGTTATTTCCCCAAGGCTTACTGACACACAGACACTGTAAATTAACTCCCCTCAGCTGGCCATATATATAACCTTTAATTATTTTGTGGTAATAACTAAGGGTTTTTATTTGGAAACTTTAGTTCTTTATACAGTTTATTAATACAGATAGTATTCCCCCCCCCCCGCAAAAAAAAATTACTCTATAGGCTTGGCGCCTCTGGCTCAAGTGGCTAAGGTGCCAGCCACATACACCTAAGGTGGCGGGTTTGAATCCAGCCCGGGCCCGTCAAACAACGATGGCTGCAACCAAAAACAGCCGCGTGTTGTGGCGGGCGCCTGTGGTCCCAGCTACTTGGGAGGCGGAGGCAGGAGACTCACTTAAGCCCAGGAGTTAGAGGTTGTTGTGAGCTGTGATGCCATGGCACTCTACCCGGGGAGATAGCTCTGTCTCAAAAAAAAAAAAAAAAAATTACTCTATAAAAGGTAATTTTAAAAATGGTTACATTTTGGGGGGCAGCATCTGTAGCTCAGTGGGTAGGGCACTGGCCACACACACCAAACACAGCAGGTTGGAACCTGGCCCAGACCAGCTAAAAAAGAAAAAAAAAACAACCCACAATGGCAACAACAACAAAAAAATAGCTGGGCGTTGTGGCAGGAGCCTGCAGTCCCTGCTACTTGGGAGGCTAAGGCAAGAGAATTGCTTAAGCCCAAGAGTTTGAGGTTGCTGTGAGCTGTGACACCATAGCATTCTACTGAGGGTAACATAGTGAGACTGTCTCAAAAAAAAAAAAAAAAAGTTACATTATTAAAAACATGGAAAATAACACAACTACCACTAGAATGCGGATGATCCTTTAGTCAACTTTTCTTGATCTTTGCAATTTTTAACATATAATCGGACATTTATATACTTACACTTTGGCTTCCCTTAATATAACAAAAGCAATTGTATATTGATAACCATTTTCACTATGATATGCTTCAAAGAAAAGTATCTGTGTGTATAATAGTAACCGTGTATCTTCCATCAATATTTAATAAATAATGTGTTACCATTTTTTAAAAAGAAATTAAATGTTATATATGAGCTGAAGAAGATATCTCTCCTGACCTAATTTTATTTTAACAATGTTCTGAGCAGATAAATCTTAACTTCTTTACCCATCCCTTTATTTTCTGCTTTAAAAATACTATACTCGATCTTAGCCAAAAGGCTAAGAAGTGATTCTCCTTTGTAAACAATGCAGCAATTAACACCCCTGAGCTTACAACCTCTTTGAAAGTTTGGATAATTTCCTTAAAATTTCTGGAAATAGTTAATTTGGAGTAAAAGACATGAATATTTTGTGAGTTTTATTCACAGATAAATTGTTTACCAAAAGATATGCAGGGCACTTTATAAGTCATCAGCAATATATAATTTATTATAATAGACAATATTTGCCATGTCACTGTTTTGAATGTATATTTCTTTATTATTATTGGAGCTGAATTCTAACCTATCAATTAGATATAATCTTTGTAAACTATCAATTCATGTTTTTTTCTCTATTAATTTACTAGAATTAGTGCTTCTATCTTAGTAATCAATTCTCTTTGTACTGTCCAATATGCCTTGGCAACCTGTGGCTATTTAAATTCAAATTAATAAATTAAAATTTCAGTTTACAAGCCACAAAAGTCACATTTCAAGTGTATAACAGTCATGTGTGGCTAGCGATCACCACATCAGACAGTGCACACAGAACATTATCATAGAAAAGTTCTAGTAGACAGAAAGTTCTACATAGTACCAGGATTACTGGAAACACTAAAAATGTGTTTGACAGTTTTCTTATACAAAGATCTCTGAATCTTAAACTCAAAGCATTGCTCATGATGTGGGAAAATTACTGTAGGGTAGACACCTAGTTACACAGTTTAGTTTAGGTGAAGTTAAACTGCATAGAATCTTTACAAAAGCAAGCCAAGTTCCTCCTCAGAGGTAGACAGGTACCCCTTTAAAAGATTTAAGGCTTCGCTGAGTTCTAAGTCAGTTAGAAAAGCTCCTGTTCAGAATTAAGATTTGCAGGTAAAGTATGGCTAAACGTATCTAGCAGGGAAGACTTATAGGACAGAGCAAACAACATACAGTGTAACTGTAAATTATGCACCAAGCATTTTAAAAAAACACTTCTCAATCCTCTTCTGACATTGATTTACCTAGTCAAAGAATACTATCTTTGGGAATAGCAAAAAAAGCGAGACAGAATAGTCTGGTAAGAGGTTTAGTGCTTAAGAATATGATTCTAGAGTCAGAATGCTGGGGTTCAAATTCACTTTTGTCCCTTATTGCCTATGTGATGCTGGAAAAATGTACTTAACTCTGTCTAAAAGGAATAATGTAGGGCTACTGAGAGGATTAAATGAATTATTTAAAATCACCAGGCACATACTAAGCTTTTAGTAAATGTTAACTATTACTTTTAGGCTATTCTTAAAGTTTGATCCTATTTCTATAAGTTAAATACAGGGTGGTGTAGAGTTGGTCCCATCTCTGTGATTACAATATTTAAGATAAAACAGTAAAAATCAGGTAACATTATTAAACATACTACATATTACATAAACTTTAAAGTTTTTTGGTAGCATTTTCACATATTTCACATTGTGTTACACAACAAAAACAGTTACAGTATTACTCTAGTTTTTGTTTGTTTGTTTGTTTGTTTGAGACAGAGCCTCAAGCTGAGCCCCTGGGTAGAGTGCCATGGCTTCACTGCTCACAGCAACCTCCAACTTCTGGGCTCAAGCAAGTCTCCTGCCTCAGCCTCCCAAGTAGCTGGGACCACAGGCGCGCGCCACAACGCCTGGCTATTTTTTGGTTGCAGCCATTATTGTTCTTTGGCGGGCTCGGGCTGGATTTGAACCCGCCACCTTAGGTGTATGTGGCTGGCGCCTTAGCCACTTGAGCCACAGGTG